GACTTGACAGAGAAGTGAGGATCGGGGCGTTCCGTGGTCGGCTGCAGCCTCCGTGCCAGCAGCCATGCACTTGCTATTCCCGGGAACTCCTCGGCCTGCTTGATTTTATATTTATGGCATGTTTCCGCCTCTTTAGCTATTAATGCATTAAAAGAGGTTTCATTTTTATTGCCGATAAATTGCTGATGCTGTAAATCCTCCTCCTCTCCTCTTACACCCTGGGGAGAAGAAGAGAGGGATAGCGCACTCCTGAGAGAAACGGGCTCTGGAGGCAAACGTCTTGGGGATCACCCTGCGGGGGCTCAGAGACATTTCCCCACGCGCCCCAAACTTTACGCCTGTCTCCCAAAGAGAAGGCCTGAGCCACGTTTGGTGGCGATGGTTTTGAGCAGGCTGGTTGGCATTCCTGTAACGTTCGCCGTCCAGCACTTGAAACAAACGCCGCTCAGTCCACGTCAGGATGGGATGAGAGCTGCCAAGGCATCTGTGATTGCTAAAAAGAACGGGTCCGCTGCCTGCTTTGTAGGTGTTTCTCACTGCAGATCTCACTGCGGGCCGGAGAGAGGGCTGAGGCTCTCCCTCCCGGCTCACCTGCCTCCGTGCTGGGAGAGCGTCCTAAGCAGACCGAAGGAAAATACTAAATAATTTAAGCAGAACGGTGGTTGCCAAACCCACAGGCCTGGGTGCTTATTACATTTCTAATGAAATAACCTTGTTCTCCAGTTAGCCAATAGCTTTAAGTAGCAGGCGAGGCCAAGATCCAGCATCCAAAAAGCTTAACTGTCAAAAGAAACTCCTGGAAGCCTCCCGCGCACTACCAACCGCGTGACCCCGGGTGACTCCTGCAGCTCTCTGGAAGGAGAGGGCCTGGCGCTTCTCTCGCAGGGCGGCCGCGGCAAGGCTCTGGCCTGTGCCCCACAGAGAGTCTGTAGGGTGAGTTCTGAAAATCAAAGCTGGTGCAGCTGAGATGCCTTTGAGATATTAAGTTGGAAATATCTAGTTTACATATCCCTGTAGTTAGGATTGAGAGAGAGGATGTGCTGATGAAAAAAGAGGCGGGGGAAGACGGGAGTGTCGCAAGACAGAACTTGAAACCCAGGAGTGTGGTTGAAACCAGGAAAAGAGGGTCAGCATAAGAAGGGGAGACAGCCTGTGCGAGCAAACCCCCAGACCGACAGCAGCCCCTCTGTCTGCCTCCTCTCCGGCACCTTTCCAATCTCACACGGCTGACCGCCCCCTGCACCCACGACAAACGCTAAGTTTGCAGCGGGCTCTCTGTCTCCATTTCCTGAGCAACATGCTCGGATGGCAGGCGAAATTTTTTTCTGAGAAAGACTTCCTCATTCTCTTCCCTTAAAGCATTTGATGGATTTTACAACTTAAACCAAGAAGACTTTTTCCCCCCTTGGGAGATACATCCAGAAAATAAATGCATGATTGGTGGAGACAAAGTCCTCTGAAAGAGGCTCGGTGATGATTTGCAGCGTGAACCTGAAGACGAAGGGCAGGGAGACACGGCTGGAGGAACAGACGCCGCGGTGGGGGGACGGGGGAGGGCGGGGCTTGAGAAGAAGAGCAGAGGGAGCTGAGTCCCTATAGGGCGTCGCTGCCCGAGCTTCAGTCATTCGTCCCTGGCCTTCGTGGTTTTGGTGGAACTCCCCACGCCAATTACACACTTCCCGTTACTCCTCTCTCCATCGAGTTTCTTTTTAAACTTAAAAACATTTATGCAAATGTGTTTTTATAAACTAGGCAATATCGCTTTTGAAAATAAGGATCTGTGTCACCTACAATGAATATTCAGGGGGACTAGTTTTAAAAGTTAAAAGCTTCAATGAAAATAATTCAACATGATTACATTCTGGCTGGATGCCGTTGCTCGCCTGTGGCTGCGAACCTGGGACCTGCTCTCGCTTGGCAAAGAAGATAGGTCTTCAGAAAGTTTTGAAGACATTCTGGCACCAGACTCCGGTGTTCCCCTCCAGGTAACCACAAGGACTGAAATAACTTTGGAAAGAGAGCAGCCCTCTCACTCAGTAATTCAATATTATTTAATCTTGGGTGCAGCAGGCGGCTCTCGCCCCAGCCTTTCAGAAACTCGTCCTAGAATCAATGCTTAGGATCAATGAGGAGTATGACTGGGGACTGAACAGCTTGGAACCAGCTTGAGGCATAGCACCAATTTCTGCTCCCTTCCCCTGGAGCTCCTGGCCGTCAGAACTCAAAGGAGCCCATTTGCCTCCATGCAAGAAATCCCCGGCCAGCCCCCGAGAGCCATGCACGGGGTCCTTCGGCATCTGCGTGGGACTGTGCTTCATGGTCAGATGGGATCTATGGAAATAAGGAGAAAGCTAAGGAGACTTGGGGGCGGGTGGGGGGAGAAGGCTCCTCTGGGAGCAGAGAGCATGATTTGGGCAGAACGGATGACCTCACACGCCTTGATGGAAGCAAGTAGCATTAGCCACAGCTTCCACCTGATGGGGCCCCTTAGAACAGCTGATGTGTCGCCAACCTAGCAGCACCATCTCCAGAGAAGAAGAGCTGGGAGGCAATTCTTCACGTGCCCATATGCTTTATGCATAGCGACGTGCTCCGGGCCCATCCATCATCTCGGAGAGGGACCGCAGCTCAGCAAGGCCCGAGGACGAGTACTCCACATCACTTATTCATTAGTTTGTAAGATCTGACTTTCCAAGACACAACACAAGGGTTTGAAGTCATTTGAAATGTTAAAGAAAAGAAAAGAAAAGAAAAAGGACAACTCTCATCTTCCCACTGTTACTATGATAGGGATGTTTTTCTGATCTCTCTGCTTTCATCAAATTAATTGCCTGCTCCTTCGCAATGGCTTAGATACAAGGATATAGATGCTGTCTGGAAGAACAGCCTGGCTTTGCATGGTAATGAGGACTGGATGTACACAATGGCTGTCCCTCCTGGAAAACTGGAAGGGGATGTGCGCACGAGGCTTATTCACCCTTCCAGGGCTGCACGTTCGCTTCGGATGTTTGCTTGGGGTGTTTGAGGGAGCCACTAGGAAAACGCAAACAGTCTCAGGCTGGTGGGAAGGTCACAGTTTAGCCAAATATTGCCGCTTTTAATTCAGCACAGAACACCAGGACGTCAGAACTGAGAGGGACCAGAGGGACCGTGTAATTAAAGGCCCTCATTTTTCGGATGAGGAAACTCAGAGGCCAGAAATGATTTGCCCAAGGCCAGGCCGTGGCACTCGCAGTAGCCTGGGAAATAACCACTTGTCCTCCTCATTTACATAAGTTAAATAAAAAGTCATCTTAAGGTAATGGAAAAATACATCATCTGGCTGATTACGAAGAGAGACTATCCAAAATTTAAATGGAGAGTAGTTAAAAATAATTATTGTTTATAATGAATGGTTTTTTTGTTCTCCCTAGCTGTCTAGACATTTAATAATTTTTGTCCTTCTAGAGCTTAGGAAATTTGCTTAAGAAAGGAGATGTGAAAGAAAAAAAAGGAGCAAAAAATGTAGCAATTGGTGAGACTAGATTGGCTACTTATACTTTCCAATGTCACAAGCCTTTTCCAGGGTTTTTTTTTCTTAGGGGATTTTTTTTAAAGATTTTATTTATTTATTTTAAGAGAGGGAAGGGAAGGAGAAAGAGAGAGAGAGAGAAACATCAATGTGCGGTTGCAGGGGGTCATGGCCTCCAACCCAGGCATGTACCCTGACTGGGAATCGAACCTGCAACACTTTGGTTTGCAGTCCAAGCTCAATCCACTGAGCTACGCCAGCCAGGGGGGATTTTTTTTTTTATTTTACACTGAGGTAAAGGGCATTTTCTGTGCCGAGTCCTGAAGCTTCTGTCATTTGGTAAAAGTATGTAGTTCCATGGTTGCAAGGTGTAAGGAACTGACATTTCAATGAAAAAATGCCCCAGGCCCTGCCAAAGTGTAGGGGCCTTCTAACCTCCAGCCCCCCTTCCCTTGCTGGGAGGGAGTCTCGGCTTCCGCCCGAGAGAGAAGACAAATTTAAAAGAAGACACAGGCAAGCCCATCAGGCTGCCCTTTCCATCTGAGAGAGAAACGTAATAGAGAAAGCAAAGCCCTACACTTTTGTCAAAATTAGATGCCATCAACCAAAATGACTGCTTTTGACCACATTTCCACCGTGCCACTGAAATGGGCTTCCAGCTAAGGGGGCACTGATCTTTCCAGTAATAACAGTAATAAGCCCTTGGATCTGTGTAGAGCTTTGCAGTTACAAAGGCGTCTACGTGTGTTACCTCGGGTACCTGTTTCCACTCTACAGATGAGAAAACTGAGCCACGGACACGTCAGCAGACATGGATTCGGCGGTTGGGACTCCAGGTTCCGTGCTCTCACTACTGCATAATGTTTTCCTTCTAATCACTTATAAAAACGCACTTTATTGCAGCAACCTTACCCCCTGATGGAAGGAAATGAGGTACTTAGAAAGGAATTCAAAGTACTTATCAGCATGTTTCTTGCCACATAGTAGGTGCTTGGCATGGGATCGCTGCCGCTGAGGAAGAGGTACTGTGGTGGGATAACCAGCATCACCGGGTTTGGGATCAGAAAGGTCTGACCTTGAGTCTTGAGCTCAGGCCCTTCTCTGAAAATGCTTTATGTGACCTGAGCCGCGTGGCTGAACTTCCCTGAACACAGTAACACCCACCTCACAAGGTGTAATTATGAAATGAGTTGCAAATGGGCACACAGAGCTTTGGGAGGTGCCCGCACTTAATGCTCAGTAAGTGTAGGGATCGTTTTCCGAAGGATTTGCTCCTCGCCCTCATTGCAAGGAAACAAAGCCAGGCGGCCTCAGAACCAGACGGTGACATTTCACCATTCAGCACCTTGGTGTTGAAGTCTCAGGTCTTGAAAGGCCTCCTGTCTTTGCCTGTGTCTTAACTTCCTGCAGCTAAGTGAGTGTGCGCGAGTGTTCTATGGACCCGCAGCTTCCACGCCCTGCAGATTTGGCCTCCGTGGCGGCCGGGTACCTGTATATGATGCACGCTGTGTTCTGGCAGGTCCTGCAGTTGTTGAGGTCTTGGCCAGTTCGGTAAAAGTTGCGCCTGCAAGACAGAGAGTTTGCGGGATGAAAGTCCCGTTGGATGCATGCACCCTCCACGTTGCCCCTCTCACCGGGAGCCATGCTCTGAGGCTGCATGCCCGTGACAAATGAACAAGAAACCCATGAGCATAGGACCTCATGTTTCTAGAGGGCTTTCACATCTGAGGGGTTTTTCTCTTGCTGACAACAATAGCTGGGAGATGAGTCAGCTCTTCTTGCCCCCTCTCGAGAGAGTGGAAACTGAAGGACTTTGCAAGCAAGTGGAAGGCAGGTGTTTAAGCCCCTGACCCCTCGGTTCAGTGCATCTCTCTCTGCACCACCCCGGTGCCACCCTCGTGTAAGCAGTGCTGGTGCTGATTCACATCAGCAAATGCCAGTTAATTTCCTCTTCCCTCTCCCACCTTTTGTCGGTGAGCTTTCATCATCCCTTCCTCTCAGGCTTTCGGGAGCACATTTTCCAGGACAAACACTCCACACCTAAATAAATAACTGCCTTTCCCTTCGCAGGCTGGTGCTGAGTCACCCAGCCAAGCATTCCGTGACTTTTTTTCTCTTTGCAGAATTGTGATCTCATTTCAGCCCCCACTGAGTCGGTCAGTGATGGACTGGCCTACGCCAGGAAAGTGGTCAGTGGAGGGCAAGGTCAGCAGGAAGCCTGGTGGCCACCTGGAGTCCTCCGTGACAAACAGACAAGTGGCCAAAGTACTGTGCAAAAACAGTGGCTTGCTTCAAGGACGGGGTGGGGGAGTACCTGTTTGCTATCATTTCCCCCATCATTCATCAACTGGAACCCCATCTTAAAATCATTTTGGACCCCGCTGCTTCATCGCCCCCTCTCTCCAGTCTGCAGATGTTTGGAAACAAAAACAAAAAGCCGTGGAAATCCACCAGAGCTGAGAATTGAATAAAACCAGGTTGGAATAAAGGGAGGGCATTGGCCTGGCTGGGGTGGCTCAGTAGACTGAGTGCAGGCCTGTGAACCAAAGGGTCGCTGGTTCGATCCCCAGTCAGGGCACACGCCTGGGTTGTGGGCCAGGTCCCCAGTTGTGTATGCATGGGAGGCAACCACACATCGGTGTTTCTCTCTCTCTCTCTTTCTCCCTCCCTTCCCTTCTTTCTAAAATGAATAAATGAAATTGTTTTTTTTAAGACAGGACATTGCTTATGATTTGGGAAGCAACAGAAACTCAAACATTCTGGGGACATTTTACTAATGGAGACCACTGCTCGCTCTCTCTGCTCCTCTCCTGTCAAATGAGTTAAGCCAGTCATTTTTAATATTAAAACAATTCACCTTACCCTTCTGTGAGAGCCCGAGCCTTCTCCAAGTCTTGAATTACATTCAAAAGGACTTTAATTTTCTCTTGGTTCGAGTGCAGAGATTCCTCCACAGATTGCAGCCTGCCTTGGAGGTCGCAGAGTTCGCCCCGTGCCAGGTGGATTTGATGAATGCCCCCAACCTCCCTGCCGCTCTGAAGTTTGGTCTCCCTCCTTGGAAGGGGGGACGGGAGGCGATCATTTCCTGGGCAACAGCGAGGCTCCGGGGCGTCTGACGGGGCGGGGGTGCTCGCTGTCTGCTCCTGACACGCAGGGGCAGATTTGGGCGCGTCGTTGGGTTTGAGTGACGGCAGCTCCTGGTGATGGTCACCCGGTGAAGAACAGTCTGACGCCCCTCCAGGGTGGGCCGGCCGGCCATGGGCGGGCTGGCCTGGCGAGGGGCAGCTGTGAGTCCGTGGTGGCGAGGGAACCCACGTGTCCTTTGGCAGAGATGACAGTGCGCCGAAGTCCTTGTCACCAGAGTTGTCTTTGGGCAAAAGCAGTTCGGGTCTGAGTTTCCCTGTGCCTGGCACGTGGTTGGCACCGCTGGTGGCGTTTGAGCAAGGGGGGGATCGTTCCGAATCGGGGGGGAGCGCTCTTCTCCCGTCGCCCGCATGCACGTCCACCGCTGGGGGGGTGGAGTTGCTCATCTCTGCAGACCTGTCTTGGCCAAAAGCGGGCCCCCTCGCTGCCCAGGAAGGACTGTGGTACATGTCATCCGGGACCTGAATGGCAGCGGTGGCGCTCTCCGAGGCTCTCCAAGTCCCGGCTTCCAAGCATATGCTGACGGGCCCGTTGCTCTGCACCTTGGCCATCCTGGGGAGGAACGGGTGGGGCGCCTTGACCCTTCGAGGCCCATCCTCCAGACGCTGAGCCAGCCTTAAGTAGGCGAGTTCAGAAGACACAATGTCCTGTTCAGAGAGGTTGCCGTTGACCTGGATGGCACTTTGGGGTGCCGTGGGCATTTCCACCAGGGACTTGCTGGCTGTGAGCCTCTTCCTTTTGAAAATTGGGAAGTGCTTCCTGAGACTGGGGGAGGTTTGGATGGCGATGTTCCGAGAGCCCCCTGCCTTCTGGGACCTGGGGAAGGAGAGCGAGTAAGTGGGGAGGTGGTGGTGTCTGGGCGCTTGAGCCTTGCCCATCGCAGCCGGGTCTTCGGAAGTGCAGACCTCCACCTCGGGGGGGCCAGGCGGTGTCTTGCTGGTCCCATCGTCCTTGAACCGCACCTGCTGAGACTTGCTCCTGCGGTGGTGCGGCTGCTTCACCAGCTCCACCGACTCTAGGCTGTTCCGCTTCAGAAGCACAGGCCGCACTTTCATATTTTGCTGGGCCATTGAGCCTCAGTGGGAGGGGCTGAGACCGCACACTTCTCCTGGGCACATGTCCTTAGGTCCTCGGGGCAGCATCCGGTGGGAGCACCTCAGACACCGAGACCCGCCAGCCGAGGCGGGGTGGCCCTTTCCGCTGAGTGTCAGAAGCCGTGTGGGCCATTCCCAGCCGGTAGAGTCTCCTTGGGAGCTATCCGTAATGCTTCCCCTGCAGTTAAAATATTATTTCATCGCAGTGATAATTGCCACTTTGATAAACAATGAGTTAGGCTAATTATTAAACATCCAATCTACCAAGAGAGCTGGTGGGCTGTTTATCAAGAGAGGCTGGCAGGCGGCTCTGGGCCTGGGAAAAGCTTGCTGTCTTAAACAGAAAGACAACAAAAGTACCACTTAGGGGAGAGCGCCAGGCTCCCGGCGTGTGGGTTCCTAGAGAAACCTGCCGCGTCTGGAACAGACGGCTCCCTTCGCCGGAGCACCCACGTCCAGGGCAAAGCTACAGGAGGAACCTTAAACACATCTCCTCTCCGTGGCCTGTAAACCGGCAGAGAAATCAACGACCCGGGGGTCGGCTTCTTTGATGATGCCCGACGCTCTGAAGGGAACACCCCCGTTTCTGTCAATCACGGATCCCTCCCTCGGAGCCATGGTTTGCTTCTGTGCTCCGCCCCCTTTCTTCAGTGAGGGAGACTCATCTTCCTAAACAGCCTCGCAGAACCCTGCGGGGTGGGACCGGCACGGGTCAGAGGCGTCAGAAGGCCCGCAGAGGGCAGCGTCCCTGTCGTGGTTCACGCGTGGCTCAAGCTCACACGTGGGCAAAATGGTCCGCGGCTGTAGCCTCTGGGAGTCTAAGCTGAGAACGGCCGGCCCTTGGCCCCGGGCCTCGGGGTCGGAGGCTTGGCAGCCTTTGCCAGCGGGCGAGGAGAGTCTGAAAGGGAAGAGACAACAGTCGCAACTGAGAAACCGTTCCTGCGTCCCTCTGTTTCTCTCCAAATTCCAACCACCCAGCTGAGTGCTGCTGAGTGGATGATCTAGGGACACGTCAGTCCCACTGTCCCTCCTCCTGTTCGCCCGGCGAGACGGTCACCACGTGGCTGCAGGGCCGCGGCACCCAGTGCCTGTCTGCCCGGATCACTTCCTCCTTCACTCCCGGGCAGCGCCAGCTGACGCCTATTCATGGGTGACGTGCCAGCCTTTCCAGTGCCTCCTCCCCCCTGCACACCTCCAGGGCTAGACCAGGTCGGGGCCCCATTCCCTTCTCATCACAGACTTCACAGCACCGGCTGCAGCCATCCTCAGATGATCACTCGTGTGTGTGTGCGTGTATGTGTGTGGGGGGGGCACCTCTCTCCACTACCCTGTGAGCTCTGGGTGGCAGGGGCCACAGTCACCTTATTCTTCTCTTGGGTGCCTTTTTAGGCTCATTGGGGGTGCTTAGTGAGCATCTGTTCCCGGAGGGGATGGCTGAATGAGGGCCCTTGGGAAGCGAAGGGGAGGCTGGGCACAGGGGTCCCCGGGTATCCCGCCCGGGCAGCAGGACGGCGTGTTCCCTCCCCAGGACTGTCACGTTACCTGAGGACAAGATTCTCCCCGACATCTTCATTTTCTCATGGCTTTCCAGGAGATGAATGAGCCCAGCACTCTCTGTGGAACGTGCACCTTGTAACAATAACAGTGACCATTTAATGAACTTGTACTGTTACCGCACTGAGGGCTTTGCATGCATTAATCACAATAACTCACTTACTGAGTACTCACTAATGCGCCAGGGGCTGTTCTGGCACTTTCCGAGCTGGAGCTCATTCATCCCCACCTCTACAGATGTGGAAACTATCATTGTCTCTGTTTTACAGATGGAAAAACTGAGGCCCAGAGAGGTTAAGTAATGCGCCCAAGGACACACAGCTAGTGAGAGGTGGAGTCGGGGTCTGAGCTTAAATGGTCTGGCACCACAGCCTGTGTGCTTCCCCTCTACACCCCGCCACCTTCTCCAGATTGCCTTATGTCATTTAAGCCGTACCACAGACCTGTCAGAGGTCAGGATTCTTATTGGACTGATGGGGAAACTGAGGCTCAGAGAGAGTGAGGACTCAGTGGAGGAATTTAGATATGACCCCAGGTGCCCTCGATTGCCAAGTCTGGATTCTTAGCTGTGAAGTCATGACTTTTCCCCCTTGGGGTCTGCCCTGAGTGCCGACGGATGGTTTCAGCGACTTGAGAAAAGAGTCTGAAGACCCCCGCAGGTCCAGAGACCGGCAGGGCACTCTCCCCTCACCCTGACACGGCAAAGTGAACCTGTTTGCCTCAAGTTCAAGGGATCAGGCTGGGGCGAGACAAGTTTGAAGCATGCCTGGGCTGCACAAAGGATTTTAAGGGAAAATGAACGTGATGAAACCGCCCACATTCTGTCTCCCGTGCTCCGCCTGATCGTAAAGGTTGAAAGCTCTGACTTCCCCAAGCATGGGCACTTTGCCCCCCAAACATCCTGCGCTCTGCTCTGCCGGGGTACCCACTTGGTTTTCTCAGTCTTCTTCTGTCTCCAGGAATGACTAGACAATGCCCGTGGCTACCCGGAGAGGGACCAGCTGACTCAGTGAGGCGGGGCAGTGAGCGGCAGGCAGGTCCTGACAGAGGACAGGATCCACGTTCAACGCGAATGAGTCGTCAGCTGGTCCGGGGCCCCCCAGCCACTGCTCCTGGGCTGCAGAGCCCAGGTATTTACACGTCTGCTGTTGTGGATCCCTCCGCCCCTTTGTCCTCTCCCTTTCCCCGCTCCCTAACTGTTCATCAGTGCTCCATTCCGGCAAAGTGAACTCACGCAGACGACCATGGTGCGAAGCTGGTTTCCATGTGGGCGCTCGTGTTTAGGGCACACTGTTTAGGGCACGCTGATTGTGTGCCAGGCACTGTGAGGGCTGTTCTTCAGGCACTCTCTCCTCTAATTCTGGCGGCTATCGCAAGAACAGGGACGGCCACCCTCTCTTTTTTTCATAAATAAGAAGTCTGAGGCTCAGGAGGTTAAGTAATTTGCTGCAGGCGGCTCACCTAGTGAGTGAAGGACTGACCCTGGAGCCCAGGCCTGGGACAGGACTTCCTGTCCAAGGCTGTCAGGCAGGCTTTAAAGTCCCTCCCTGTGGTCCCCCCACCCCTCTCTGCACCCCACCCCACCCCCTACTCCCCCCCACCCTGCCCCCGCTCCCACCCCCGACATTTTCCTTCTGAAAGTCAGCCCTTACTCTGGTTTTAGCCCTGCTTTTTCTCCAGAAGATTTACGTGCCCTGGAGATGTTTTCTTCTGATCTTCAAAAAACAGTCTCGGGTTTCTGTTTTTGAAGATATTATGTATTCGTTGTAAAACTCTGAGTAATGAAAATAAGCCAAAAAGGAAGAACAGACCTGTCTGAAATCTCACCACCCAGAAAGAGCCGCTGTGCACGCACGCAATTCAGGGAAGTTCAGGAGGTTCCCCCCACCCCGCACCCCAACACCCCTGATGCAGCACCGGCATGGGCGTCTCGTGCACACTGCTTCCATGCGCAGGTTCGCGGGCAGCCTCCAGAAAGATCCGAACGCCGTGGAGGAAGTTTCGTATCGTGGCTCATAGACTCACACTCTCCTTTTAAGCAGGCTCGCGGGACTCTGTTGCCTAGTGATTCCATGATTTATTCAGATAGTATCCTTTTGTGGATATTTATGTGGTCTTAAAATATTTGGTATTATTAATAACCCTGCAAGTAGCTTTTTTTTTTTTTTTTGGTGAACCGTGGAGTGCTTGCCTAATTATTTCCTTGGGGCAAATTCCTAGAAGAATTCATAGGTTAACGTACCCATACATTTTTTCCATTTTGTTGACATTCTCACTTTTCCTTCCAGAAAGTTCTCCTAAGGTGCAATGCCACTGTGACTGCATGAGAAGGCCTTCTCACCAGAGCCTCTCTGACACTGCGTTTGGTCAGTTCCTGGTGATCTTTTTCATCATTGCCAGTAGCACGGCAGAACAATTGTTGCTGCCATTTCTTGTGAAACTTATTTAAGATCTAGCATTCTTCCATGTGTTTATTGGTTTTACACTACATCTGGTAACAGGTAAAAAAGAAAAAGTTGAAAGCGATCATTTGAACAATTAAGCTAATATGGAAACTCTTGTGCCCTGGACATAACCTAGGAAGCTTAGTAAATATAACAATTTTTACTCGACAATATTGCGTATTTTTATTCCAGTTCTTCTTCTCCCAATGACCACCGTGACCTTTGCACCGGCATGTCCAGGGGAGTAGCCTGGCTAACGGGAATGACCTTGAATAGGCCTCAGGTCTCGTAGGCTGCCAGCTTGCCATTAATCAATGGGGAGTTCCCCAGGCCTCGGCGGTTAGGGCTTAATTAATGTCCTGGCCGGAGCCCAGAACCGCTCCCCAGAGCTGGTGACAGCAGCCCGTTGCACACCCAGCGGCGGGGAGCTATTGCTGATCTTTGTGACACTTTATCCTCCCCCACCCCTTGGTTATTGAGTTATCGAACGCCAACCGGCTGTTTGTGTTCCAGCCACGAACCGCGCCTGCTCCGCGCTGGGTGGTCCTCACGAAATCGGTGGCCACACAGTAGCTGCAGGGACAGTTAGTGCTACCTCTGTAGGTCACGGACTTTAGACTTTCTCTGGAGCAGACTCAGTTCTCTCTCCGGTTTCCGGGCTCTGCAGGGAAGGATTGAGTGCGTAGGGCCTAGCTTGTGGTCCACTTGGACTAGAGCCTCCCACTTTCTATCGCCTCGGCCTCTGTAAAACCACACAGCACTGCCGTAAGGACCGAGTTAGACAATCCGCGTAACGTGGTCGGCACGTTGGCTCGTCGGATAGAGTCCAGCTGGAGATCGTGAGATGCTGACAAGCGTGTCTCGCCCCTTCCGCTTTGCCTCGGGAGAGGAAACTGTAGGATTTTCAGGCAGCAGTGTGCAGGGAGCGCACACCCAGGACTGCTGCCTTCACCCTGCCCCTTCGTGTGCCACGCACCACTCGGACACAGCGCCTGTCTCCCCGGACAGTGGCTATTTGCTGACCTTCAGCCTCCTCGACCAGACTGCAGACCGGCCGGAAGCAGACACTGGTCACAGTCCACTCTGGCCCTCACACCCAGCCTGAGTCAGAGCTCGTGTTACGTGACTTCTCCCCTGAGGAGTGAATGTAATCCCATTTTACCTCATTTGCCTTAGCTTCTGTGGCATAGAAGAGTCGCATAGTTGGCATGGGATAAATATTTGTGTGACTAATTAATTAGGAGAAAACTGATTCACTCTCAACTTGCTTTCCCTTTCAAAGATGCATCATCACTAGGTCTCTTGGACAAATGAGTTGCGTCTGTCCTTTAGCATACGAGGCTTGCCCTGTCTATGACTCATATGGAATTTGGTTAAGCCTCATGGAGATCCTGTTATGACCTGGGCGCTGTGAGAAACACGCTGGAGATCACAGAAAGGAACAGGACCTGGTCCCTGCTGCAGCACAAAGAAGGGACCTTGAAATGCCACCTCACAAGGAACGCGTCCCTGGGAGGTGGTGTGTAATGTCGTGCGGAGCTGGGGACGACTTGGGTGTATCCAGATCCTGCTTCAGCATCTGCGGCACTTACATTCTAAATGGGATTCAGAGTTTATCCTGTACTCCAGGAGTCCGCATTGTTTGTTTT